TAATTATTATTGATATTATTGTTTAAAGTGTTTCACCCAACTTGTATTTGACATTTTGAAACAGTCATCACCTGTGTGTGTCATTTACAGAGGTGAAATGATACGATGCTTTACTATTAGTTGGACACATGTTGGTTTATTTGAAACATCTTTTAAATGTTAACAGGTGTAAAATAATTAGATTTCAGTGGGTTTGATAGTCAAGGTTTTTCTGTTTAGGTGGTTTTAGTAGCACAAAGTCCCACATTTACCTACTTCTAACCATAGCTGATCTAACCTTGTTAGAATGGATCTGAGTTTCAGCTCATCTCTTCCAGCGCAGCACAAATAGGATAAACACTGCAGTAAACAGCTTTTATTCCCCCTGATAGTCGGAGCAATATTCACAGCCCCTGTTTGWATTGCAGCAAAACAATTAAACATAATGTTTGGTGTTTTATTTATTTATTTATTTATTTTAACGTTTGTCTTCTCCAGACAAAGACAAGCCCCTGGATTCTGATGAAGACTCGATGGGCGTTAGTGCCGGAGGGCCCGGCGGGGTGGGAGGAACCCCAGGCTCCGGCCCGCTGCGACCCAACTCCCAGTCGGCCTTCCTGGGCCCGATGCTGTGGGAGCGGACCCTGCCGTGTGACGGAGGCCTGTTCCAGCTGCAGTACATGGACCTGGAGGAGTTCCTGACGGAGAATGGGATGGGGATGCAGAACGGACCCAGCTCCACCAGCGCTCAGATCCCCTCCCAGGTGAAACCCTCTGAACCCGAGYGCCAACCGCTCTGACGGACGTGCAGAAAGCAGCTTCTGCTATTTGTTTAACGCAGCTCGACTTGTTGTCCTAACAATGCGTTAAATCGCAGTGCTGTAATGGGAACACATCTGTCTTATCTAAAGCACTGCTGGTTCAAATCCCAGGAGGCTTAATGAGGTTCCAGAGGTTAATGTTTCCATATTACAGCTCCGTGCATTTCTCAGCACATCCAGCTGTTCACAGCCAACATCCTGTCYGCTGTCACATCTTCTTATTAATCTGCTGTGTCTGCAGAGCATTTCCCCTAAGTCTCATAGTGGTAAAACACAACTGGATCAGCACATCAACTCTGCCTGTAAATACCAAGGAGTGAAAGGAGGATTCTGTAGAAACATCAAACTTCAKGGGAAGACACTTAGAATTAGATATATAGTAGTTTAACATGGCTGAACGACATTTAAGCCTAATTTGACAATGTTTTTTTAATATGCTAATCACTTTGTTAGCTTGACCTGTTGACGTTTTTAGAAATATAAAAACACTTTT